GTACAGGAACGCTGGGATGCGGGGAGCGTCGGCGGTACAGGAACGCTGGGATGCGGGGAGCGTCGGCGGTACAGGAACGCTGGGATCTGGGGAGCGTCGGCGGTACAGGAACGCTGGGATCCGGGGAGCGTCGGCGGTACAGGAACGCTGGGATCCGGGGAGCGTCGGCGGTACAGGAACGCTGGGATCTGGGGAGCGTCGGCGGTACAGGAACGCTGGGATCTGGGGAGCGTCGGCGGTACAGGAACGCTGGGATCCGGGGAGCGTCGGCGGTACAGGAACGCTGGGATCCGGGGAGCGTCGGCGGTACAGGAACGCTGGGATCCGGGGAGCGTCGGCGGTACAGGAACGCTGGGATCTGGGGAGCGTCGGCGGTACAGGAACGCTGGGATCCGGGGAGCGTCGGCGGTACAGGAACGCTGGGATCTGGGGAGCGTCGGCGGTACAGGAACGCTGGGATCTGGGGAGCGTCGGCGGTACAGGAACGCTGGGATCTGGGGAGCGTCGGCGGTACAGGAACGCTGGGATCTGAGGAGCGTCGGCGGTACAGGAACGCGGGGATCTGGGGAGCGTCGGCGGTACAGGAACGCTGGGATGCGGGGAGCGTCGGCGGTACAGGAACGCGGGGATCCGGGGAGCGTCGGCGGTACAGGAACGCGGGGATCCGGGGAGCGTCGGCGGTACAGGAACGCTGGGATCCGGGGAGCGTCGGCGGTACAGGAACGCTGGGATGCGGGGAGCGTCGGCGGTACAGGAACGCTGGGATGCGGGGAGCATCGGTCGTCCTGTTGAGACGAAATGAAGAGAGGAGCTCACCAACACACTGGTAGCCGTAGCGACGAATCGTCTTTGTTATGACCCCCGCTGCCTTTCGTTGAGTGCCGAAACCAGTTTCCCAACCCTTGTCCCGGCATGGGATTCAGTTACACACCACATGCGTCGCTTCAGTCACACGTAACATTTTATTGTCCACCTCCCGGGCTTTAATGTGACAGACCGCGTATACACGCATGTGGTGTGTATGCACGCAAGACAGATGTGTTACAACAACAGATATGCCAGGAAAGGTCGGCACCTGCTCACCTGGGCGCAGCATTTAAGTCCCGCTCGTGGTGGATGCAGCTTAACCGGCCCAAGGTCAGGGGATAAGGCAGCTTCTCTTTCGCGCGAAGCAACGTTTCGGCAGCAGTTTACAATGCTCACAACAACACTTCTAGACAGCAGATGTTTTTGCTTACGGGAACAGCCGAGCTCTCCGTTGCCAAGCTCACACGGGCCGCCCGTGACATCGACAACTCTAGCGTTTAGCTTCCACACCGTCGAACGTACCGTATCATTTCCTGGACCCTTGCATGCCTCACTGCATCGTAGTTGTGACAGCAGCCAGGTGCTGCAGCGGCGCAGTTTGTTAGCGAGCTGCCCGAGCAACGACTGCCAGCCACACCTGATCACACCGGCCAACACTGCCAGCCACACCTGATCACACCGGCTCCGATTGCCAGTCACACCTGATCACACCGGCTCCGACTGTCAGCCACACCTGATCACACCGGCTGCGACTGTCAGCCACACCTGACCACATGCAGGCACAATCTACTGTATGTAGGTCGGCTGGTACACAGCTGGTACACAGCTGGTCGGCGACAGTATTACCCGCGTCGCACCGCTTTCCTTGTCCCCGTAAATGACCTCATCTGTGAACAGGCCAGTGAGGCCCTGATCTACCCAAACCAAACGATTGGTACATATATATATATATATATATATATATATATATATATATATATATATATATATATATATATAAATGAGTGTGTGGGGAGGGGGGGGGGGGTTAACGAGCCAACCAATAGGTAGGTTGCTAATTACTAGATTCGGAACGTCTGCGTCCAGTTTTTGTGTGACACCAAATCGTCAAGACATCTTCAGGAGGTTGAAACGCTCGTTATTGAGGAAGCATGCACCAATTAATTTTAAAAACGGACGAATATGGTAGTAGTGCCGTGTCTCCTAACGTGTTAAGTGCGGAAAAATTCCCCCGCACTGGACCAACTTCCCTTCGCCCACTTCGCCCACTCTCCACATACCTCCCACCAACCCACAGCTGTTCTAGCCACTGGCAGGCCCCTAGGGGGCCGCGGGAGCATGCCTTGCACTTCGCAGAGGTCCACATCCGGTCGAACACTTGCATTTTTTAATACAAAGCGCTAACAGTGGGACGTCCTCTCGCTTCCAGCCAACCAGGAAGGGCCAATGGGCAGAGCAAATATTTTTGCTTGATTGGTAGGGTCGTGATTGGGAAGATGATTATGAGGTTCAGGGGCCCTACGCTGTTGTTCGGGTGCCCTGTATGTCAACTTGCTGGAGTGGTTTCGGTCCTCCTATTGGAAAGGAGGGGGAGGGGAGGATACGCGGACCCATATTTGGGGCCGGTCGTATCGTCTGGATCTCCTCCCCACTCCCCTCACTACACCTCTTTTCGGACAGTCCTACAGTAGCGACCAGAAGGTTATGAGCTGTTATCCCATGTGCTTCTCTTGTCTGCGTGATGCTCCCGTGACGGATGGGCGCAGCGGCTTCGGCCGTCCGGCTAGCCGTTTCACTTCGCTCGGCACTCTTTTCACTCCAGACCAGACTCGGCACTCTCGCCACTCTAAACAGACTCAGCACTCTCGCCGCTCCAAACCAGACCCGGCACTCTCTTCACTCCAGACTAGATCCGGCACTCACCCCAATCCAGATCAGACTCGGCACCCTCTCCCATCCAGATCAGACTCGACACCCTCTCTCATCCAGACCAGATTCGGCATTCTCTCCAGTCCAGACCAGATTAAACACTCTCCAGTCCAGACCAGATTAAACACTCTCCAGTCCAGACCAGACTCGGCACTCTTTCCAGTCCAGACCAGCTTCGGCACTCTCTCCAGTTCAGACCAAACTGGGCACCCTCTCCAGTCCAGACCAGACCCGACACCCTTCCCGTCTAGACCAGAATCGACACTCTTTCCAGTCCAGACCAGACTGAACCAGGCTCAGGGCAAAGCCATAGTCGACTCTGGTGTCAAAAAATATGTGGTAGGTCAAGGTGGAGTCGTGTGAGCGGTAACCGGTATTCTCATTTCCAGCTCTCATGTGAAGAGCAAATAGGAACAGAAGACGTGCTCTTGTTAAGTGTCCTTAAGATGTCCTTATGTTAAGCCAAGATATCGCTACCGTGGCCTAAATAGGCCTTTATGTAGGCCAAAGAGTGGTTTGCCGGGTGAGCTTTTTCCTTCCAATATCAACTCTGTCCTAATCCATTGTAATTAATCCGCAGGTAATCGGAAAACGTTCGTACCCGAACCGAACCACTGCCGTTTGCGGACATCAGCTCGCAACGGAGTGTTGACCACGTGATGGACACAGGCTAATTGTAGAATTCACATATGATGCCTTTATTTTGTCGTTGAATCAAACTGGTGCAGCTGGCGATCAATGATTGGAAACAAGCTGAAGATGCGATGTAGGGTTCTTTGAAAACGCCGGCATCATGCCATTAAGAACGTCTACAAGAACATGATACCTCCGGTATCTCGACGTTGGAATCATAGGCAGAATGTGTTTGACAAACCATACCGCCTACGGCCAAACCACAAACCATACGGCTCACAGCCAAACCACAAACCATATGGCTTACGACCAAACCACAAACCCTACAGCTCACAGCCAAGCCACAAACCTTACGGCTCACAGCCAAACCACGAACCATACGGCTCACGGCCAAACCGTAAACCATACGGCTTACGGCCAAACCGTAAACCATACGGCTTACGGCCAAACCACAAACCATACGGCTCACAACCAAACCACCAACCATACGGCTTACGACCAAACCACAAACCATACGGCTCACAGCCAAACCACAAACCATACGGCTTACGACCAAACCACAAACCATACGGCTCACAGCCAAACCACAAACCATACGGCTTTTCCGCTGCGCGGGGACGAGTGGGCGCAGATCAGGTGATAATGAGCCTGAGACGGACCCGTCAGTATCCAATTTGCTCGCACGCATGCACTTCCCTTCCAGACACACAGATATGCATGCCCCCGTCGCGCGCACGCACGCACACACGCATAAACACGGGCCAGGCATGCATGATTGCTGATATGTTCGGCGAATGAGGCGTTTGCGTTGATGAAAACATGAAAAGCTAAGAAAGATGTCGCCTAGTACTGTGCGTGTAGCGAAACCCATTGAGTAATCTGGACATGTGTGTTTGTAATTTGGATGTTGAGAGACGAAAAAGCTTCATCGGAATTCATCCTGTAGCAGACCCCATGCCTGCATCGGAGCCTATCCAAGGCTGCGCTTTGATGTCCAAGTGTTGAGGCTCACAGTGGAAATCAAGATTATGTTCTATAAGTCACGGTTGGGGTCGATTTCGATCGAGCGGAACCGAGCATGCACCTGTATGCTGGCTGGAGTCGCGCGCTTGTAGGGGGCGGATGGTGTAGTGATTTAACTAGGCTTCTGGAGAACCAGAGGTACGGGGTTCGATTCCCTGCGGTGCCCGCCCGTCCTGCGAGGGTGGGAGGCAAGCGACGCGATATAGCCTCAGCAGCTGAGTGCACGGTAAAGCCCAATAACGATGATGATGACAAATAGCGGTCGTCAAAATGATATATAGATAATGAGATATAATAATGATATGTGTAATGATGTATGAAAATCATATGCGTCAATGATATATGATATTGATATATGACAATAATATATGATAATGATATATAATGAATGGCGAAATATTTTGGTACGATGTTTGAAACCTGCAATTGCTGGAGAACGGAAATTTACGTAGCATGCGTCAAAATGTCTCAAATGCAGCAGCCCATGTAATCATACACCCCCCATCTTTAACCAGTACCATCTCCGACTTAGGTAGCCATTAAAGTCATTAATGGGCTTCATTTAGGTGGCCGTCAGTGCTGTAGTAATGCATCATCTTCTGTTTCAGCGCTATGTATGCGGTACATCACGGCTATACTCTCTCACACCCGAAAAAGAAAACGTGGACAACGTTGTCTACAAGCACCCACACGCAAGCGCCCTTCAAAAAGTCACGTTCTCGTGGATTTTCAACCTCCTGCTAGTTGGTTTTCAAACTCCGATCGAGTTTACAGATCTCGGCAGGTGAGCTTCGAGTGGCTTGTACCGCTGCCAGGACGCGGGCTGAATGATCGTCCTCAAAAAAAAAAAAAAAACACCCAAGGTGTCGCGTACGTCCCAAGTCGATCGATGCTTAGGTGCAGGCTGCCTCTTGGATGCATTTTTATTTAACCTGCATAATATTTAACGTTTTGATGCGATCAGTTATGCAAAACGGGGCAGTCTTATGTGAGAGCTCGAGCTCAGCAGTTGGTGGATCTCTGGAAGTCTGCTTTGCTCTTTGTGGGGTTAAATCGGGACACAAAATGTCTTGCCTGTGCCATTTTTAAAGGCAGTGTTCTACATTTGTGTGGGGTGTTAAACCGAAATAGCTATCTTAAAGAGAATTCGGTGCAATTCACGCCCCGACCTTACTAAGACCTAAACCCCTCAAGTTTCTGAGCTACACGCCCACGAAGATGTGCAGACTGTTTCGAAGGCACTATTTCAGAGTCACCCAGGCATCCACACCATAATAACGTCACTCAAATCCTGTCATTTCATTAGCCATTAGGCGACCAAGGCCAAGAAAATATTATTGTTCAATCGCTCATATCTGGTATCCGTGAGTACGATTTCCAGATGCAGTGATCGTCAATTGGCTCCCAATCAGTGTTGTGCAAAGCACGATGACGTAATGGAGCAATGACGTGTTTTAGAGGACATTTGCGAAACAAAAATATTGTTGTTTAGAGCAGTCTTTTTCACTTAAAAATATGGCAGCAGTTATAAGTGAGCCTATTTCATCATATCTGCTGCCTGCTTCAGTGTCTTCAACTGTGGAACATTCCCTTTAATTGGTGCAGAAGTGGTGTGTGCGACCCACGTGAACCTTCTAACAATGTCCCTGTCTTTTTCATCAGCCTGCCCTCTGGTGAGGACACCTTGCCACACTACGAAAAGCTGAGCAAATCCTTGAAACGAGAAAAGGTGAGCAGAAATAAACCAGACTAGGTCGATTCCTTCAGTAAAATCCGACGGGGTGAGATCCGTCGGAAAAATTTGGGAGACAAAAGTTTGATGCGTTTGATTTCCAGTGTAATGATGTCTGGGGTGAAACGGCAACCGTTGGCCAGTTACTGTGCTGTCCACAATACGGCACATCTGTCGGTAGTATTTTATGTTTACTAGTTGTGAGAATAGGTAACAAGTCAGCTACCTATTTGCGACATAGTTGTACTGTTGTTTGTCCTAGAAAGTGTCAGAAGAAGAGCGTAAAAGGTGTTTTTTCCAAGATGGGTCATGGCCATTATTCACTCCTGTGCCTCTTGGATTTCAGTAAATATTTCGGCGTCATTCCTCATGCTCAGCTACTTTCCAAGCTCCACGTCTATAAGATTGACCCGGCCTGTTTCTTCTCCTATCTTTCTGGCCACTCCCAGTCAGTCTGCATCTCTTCTCTCTCTCTGGTGACAGAGTGGTCTTCAGGCTGCTCCCCAATACCCAGGAAGTCTTCCAGGGATCGGCCCTTGGTCCTCTCCTATTCACAATCTTCGTCAACGCCCTCAGCCTGCAGGTGCTGGGCGCTCATGTGACCCGGTACGCTGACGACTCCCAAATCCTCACATCCGACGATAAACGCAACGTTCCTTCCCTCATCCAACGCATGTAAACCACCCTGTCCTCCCCAGCATCGTGGTCCCATGCCCACGGTCTCAATCTCAACGCATCCAGACCTGAACTCCTTCTCCTTGGCACCCGACAGAACAACCGCGGACTTTCCCCTGTCACCGTACGGGTCGTTGGGGAGACCGTTGGGGAAAGCCTGACCGTAAACAATTTGGGTGTGCTTTTTGGCCGCCACCTGAGCTGGGATGCGCACGCCAGTGATGTGGTAAAAAAGCACATCGGTGTCTTGATCGGTCTCTGCCACCTGGGACATTTCATCCTGTAACGAGTGCTAGTGACCATATTGCAGGGTCTAGTCATCTCGCGCGTGAGATACTGCATTGCGCTGACCCCTGGTTTATGGCCAGGGGCTCAGCTGTTAACGAGGCCAGACTGTTTAAAGTAGTTAACTTTACTACCAGGGTGGTTACTGGCCTGCCAAAGAATGACCACGTGTCTCGCGCGCGGGATGACCTGCCCTTTGCCACGCTTCCCCAAATGTGTGGCGTACAAACTGTTATCGCTGGCACACAAAGTCCGTGAGCGAGGTGACCCGGAGGCTCACCTCACTCACCTGATTGTTTCAAACATACGCTGGCGCGCGGACCAGTTACCCGCATGTGACTACCCGCATGGACCATAACCTGCGCCTACCAGCGTTGCGCACGGCGGCAGGACAGCGGTCCTTTGCATACCGAGCGGTGTCTCTCATCAATGAGTTGCCTGTAGATGTCCAAGGACTGAATTCGGCAAGTTTTAAGCGCACTGTCAGCTCTTTTTTGTGCGATAGGGTTGTCTCATACTGTGTATGCGGGCATACGTTTGTGCATGTTTTTATCCCCTATCATTTGCCGCATACAATACATATCACATACAAGTTTTCTTCCTTCCAAGTAGATATGCATGTTGTATAGAATAAGCTGCATGGAATAGGCCGATCGGCTATAGGGAATAACAAGGTCACGGCTCTTGATATCTTTTTGTGAACTGCCATCTGTCAGTCTGGTGGACCTCAGTTCAAAACCTCCGTACAAAAGTAAAGCCATTGAACTCGCACGGTGTCGAACTGTGTTATGCCTGAAGGCGGAACACATGCAACACCTACTTGAAGCACACACTTTTTCACCCCTGAAGCCTGCACTCTGTCCTCCATGAAGCACGCACTTTTTCACCCCTGAAGACCACACTCTGTCACTCCTGAAACCCGCACTCGTCGCCCCTGAAGCCCGCACTCTGTCGCCCTGAAGCCCGCACTCTGTCGCCCCTGTAGCCCGCCCTCTGTCACCCCTGATGCCAGCGCTCTGCCACCCCTGAAGCCCGCACTCTGTCAACTCTGAAGCCCGCACTCTGTCAACCCTGAAGTCCGCACTCTGTCAACCCTGAAGCCCGCACTCTGTCAACCCTGAAGCCCGCACTCTGCCACCCCTGAAGCCCGCACTCTGTCAACCCTGAAGCCCGCACTCTGCCACCCCTGAAGCCCGCACTCTGTCAACCCTGAAGTCCGCACTCGTCGCTTCTGGAGCCCGCTCGACCTCCGATCCCGTTGTCCCAGCACCCTGTCAATCCCCGGTCTGTGTCTGTATGCAGGCACAAGCAGCGGGCGCCGGCCGCGAGGTGCGGCTCTGGCGTGTGATGTGGCGCACACACCGGCGCCGCCTGCTGCTGGGCGGCCTGCTCAAGCTGTGTGGCGACCTCTCCGGCTTCGTGGCGCCGCTCGCGCTCAAGAACATTATCGAATTCGTGATGCTACACCAGTCGGGCGAGCTGCAGGTGCACCACCTCGAGAGCGCCGGCGTGAGTAGTGCCGCACCAGCCGCTGGTGCCGCGACCTGTCGGGCGCGCGGCCCACCCTCACGCCGCGTGTCGCCGTTGGAGGTCGGACGCTGGTGGACAGCGAGACGGGGGCTTAACTCTCACCTTGAGCGGAGAAGCAGCGAGCTCAGTGTGGAGGTTTTGAGCACATGAGTCCTGACACATACATTGCTGGACATTGTGACCGTCCGCATCCCTTCCGTTGTTTACGAAGTTCTTGCACTGGCCCGTCACTGCTTTCACACAAGGAACAGGCGCCTGTTTTTAAATCCCGTGAAGTGTATTTTATGGCTGCATGCCAAACCTGTGGGACTTTGCGAAGTCCTTCACACCGCCATGCGAGAATCGGCCGACTCCTGCGGCCCGTAACGTTGTATTTTCCGCAGCGAACATTAAAGGCTGTGTGTGGCTGAGCTGTGTGCAGTATTCGCTTTTTGTTTGTAGCGGACCGTCAGCAGTGGCTGTTCCGGACGACTCTGGCGCGTCGCAGTGACGTGTCGTGCAGCCCTGCCGCTCCGCCAGGCAGCCGGGGTCGTGACAAGAATCAGCGCTGGAATGCGGGCCAACTTTAGGATCACGTAGCACTCAGGATGGCCAGCGTAATACCCCTGCAGCGCTTACGTGCGCGCGGTCCCATGCATGCCCAACGCTCGCCCGAAACGGGCTCCCAGCCTCACCGTTCACACGCATCTCTGTCTGTCCCCAGTACCTGTACCCGACCGTGGCCGACTTCCTGTCGAACGGCTACGTCATGTCGGTGCTGGCGCTGGTGGCGGCGCTGGCGCAGGGCACGTTCTCGCAGTCCTGCACCCACGTCATGGTCACCGAGGGCGAGCGGCTGCGCGCCGAGGTCCAGGTCCGTCCGCGCCTCGCGCGGCGCAGCTGCCCGGCGCCGCCAGGCGGCAGCACAGGCTCCGAGCGCTCTCCTTGGCGATCAGCCGTCGGCTTATGGCAGATACGCTGCGCAAGAAACAGGCATGCAGCAAGGCAGCGATGCTTGCGTAGTTCCTGTGTGCTATTAGATACATGCGAACGGAGCCCTTGCCAGAAACTCAAGTCGGTGCGTGGTTCGTCTGCGAGCTTTTGTGTTGTGACGGAAGCTGGAAGCTTTCACGTGAATTGTCTGAAAACGTATGGCCAAACATCATGCCTTCTGTACCGAGCTGAAAGTAACTTTATATATTTTTAACCCACACCCACACCCTTGATAATGCCTTAACTCGCACCAGCGAGTACCAGACTGGCAGCGAGATGCCCTCGCTTTGAGAACATTTGTCGCCCACCAGTGGCTTGTAGGTTCAAGGAGACGTTCTCGCTTGCTTCGCTGGCGGGGAGGTGACGCTGCTGGTGTGGGTAGCCTAACCCCCAACAGTTTATCGTTAACCCGAGTCTCGACAGTGTGAGGTGGTGTCAGTAAACAAAGGCCATATTTTTTTCTTACGGGAGAGGGAGTACGTCAAATGTTCTTCGAATTCCAGCCAATTTTTACCGAAGCCCTGCGAAATCGCCCAGTGTTTATTGTAAACCTTGTGGCTCAAAAGGGCCGTACCCCCCCCCCCCCTTCCCCTCTCTCACCATCCATTGGCTATATCTCAGAGTTAACAAGATATGTTGCTTGCAGCAACATATCATTGGTTCGCATCCCAGTGATGCACAGTGTATCCCATTTTTCTAAGATTTCAGTGACCGCGTCAATTGGCAGTCTCGCGTGTGCGGTATCACTATATTTACCGTCGCTCATGTTTAACTTCTTCCCAGCTTTGTGGTATGTTTTCGATAGCTTGTGTACACAGAAGAAGCTTTCGATAGACAGCTTCTGCACAGCTCGTTTCTCCTACATATACCAAAGTGTCACCCTGCCGAGTGCCAAAACATGCCCCGCTCGCCAATCCTGTGAATGGCACCGATAACAGGCGGCGCGGGCTTATGTGGTGGATCGCCGTGAAGGCTGAATCCGTCGTTTGCACGACTTTCGTCGCGATTTGTGCAGCCGTATGCGCTGTATTGGGCTAAAGAAGTGTAGACAGACAAATTCACTCTCGGAAATTAGTCAAATGGATTATCACCCAACCACACACTGTCGCCCACCAGTGTTATAGGCATTCAACCATTGTTCCGGGGACACGAACCCGTGTTTGCACGTGTGGAAATGGGAGGGGGGGGGGAAGGAATGGCCAATGACAGCCTGAGTCACAGCAGCCGCGGAAGTCTCCAGCAGTGACTCAGCTGGTCCGACCGGCTACTCGGAGCGGGCACGGCGCGGAGGTGACGCGGACAAAAACTGCCCTGATTGGCCGATATTTGAGTCGCCCAGAGGCCGCAGAACATCCGGGCGCGTTAGACGCCGGAAACCTTAGTGGCGCAAGAGCGCCACTGCGGCAAATTATCAGAGTGGATAAAAGTCGTGTAAATGCGCAAAATACAGTCGACCATGGGCAGCTCCGTATGTGCTGTGAGAAGTTGTCTGGATCGTACGCGGCCTGAAGAAGAGAATTAGCAGCACTGGTGGGTTCAGTGCTCGCCCGAGCTGTCGCTGGGCCTCGTGACCTTGACTGCGGCACGGCGAAGAATGCGGGCAATTCTCGTGGTCTGCGCAGGGCCGCCTGGCTGCAGTAATAGTCTACTGAACATCCGCAGGCGTGTTTTATTGCAAAGCTCTGAGCTGACCTAACCGACCCAATGTGCTGTAGTGGAAACATCTTATATCATAGGGCGTTGTTGTTTTCAGCGCGAAATCAGACCTCCCTGACCCAACGATGGGGACCTTTCTGAACCCAGCGATGTGGGTCTTCCTGAGCCAAACGGTGTGGACCTCCCTGACCCAACGATGGGGACCTTTCTGAACCCAGCGATGTGGGTCTTCCTGAGCCAAACGATGTGGGCCTCCCTGAGCCAAACGGTGTAGACCCCCCTGAACCGATCGATGTGGACTTTCGTGAACCCAACGATGTAAGCCTCCTTGAACCCGTCTGTGTAGGGCTCCCTGAACCCGTCGATATAGGCCTCCCTGAACCCGTTGATGTGGACCTCCCTGAGCCCATCGGACCGGCCCATCGCTGTAGTTATCCCCTGGATGCTGCAGGGAACGGTCGGCAATGCTGGCTAGACATCTGTCGCCGCCCAGGGAGCATAAGCCCTCACTAACAAGGCTGATGGTCCCCGCGTTACGGCGAAGACGGTGAGCGTCACACGGCCCCGTCTCGCGCGGCCAGGAGCCATCTGTCTGACCCGAGCTGGAGTGTGGTGCTGCAGCTGAGGCTGGTCGGTCCGCCGCAGGCTCTGGTGTACGAGAAGTCGCTGAAGATCCCGACTGCAGGCACTGACCACGCGACGACAGACAAGTCGGACACCCTGCAGCGGCCCGGTAAATTACTGGCCTCGATCGTGAGACTAGGCCGTCCATAGGCGCGCTGCCTATTGATAGCGAGCGTGGTGCCACAGCCTACCGCGCTGACTAGGTCTGAGCGCATCGGAGTCAACACGGCGGTGTTTTGTGTTTCAGTTTGCATGCTTATTTATGACGACGATATCGACGGAAACAGATTTGTGACAATTTAGAAGGACTTACCCCGCAGTTTTCACCGCTAACGTCAGCGTGTTTGCAGCATTGCAGCACCTGCAGAAATCAACCTGTTCAACATCCTTTTACAAACCACTTGAGCGTGAGCACTCACCGCCATTGAAAGAATCGTATGATATCGTTGATTTGAGTCCTGGATCTGTCCGACAGCAGGAGGCGAGGGTATCGGCGAGACCGGGCATAATGACCACGTCGACTCCGGCAACATCATCAGCCTGCTGTCGGAGGACGCGGCCAACCTCTCAGAGCTCATCTGCCAGTCTCAGTACATCTGGGCCATCCCGCTGAAGGTGAGGACTGCCCTGGCAGGCACTGTGTGGACCTGAAGACGCGTACAGGTATTCAGGGCGGCCGTGAATGCCAGCGTTTATTTGCCCTGGGGCATCCCTTTGAAAACCCGGGAAGTATCAGTCGTAGTGTCGTTCTATGAAGGTCGTCCTGGATGTGCCAGAAGAGCATACGTATCAATATAAAGGCCTGTGGTGGCAATTCAAAGCGGCGTTATCATGAGGCCACCCCTGATGAGGTGCGCACCCTAATGTCAGGAAGGTTAAGGCAGCCTTTAGCCCGTTTGGTGGCCGACAATGGTTGGCCAATTCTACTCCATGTGGGCCGGTCCACCAGCTGTGTGCAAACGACGGCGGAGGCGCGGTACCTTCCTGCCCCTACATCCCGCCGGTCAGGGACCTCTGCAGTCCAGGGCGGGCGTGCGCGACTGCACGAGGCATGACTAGACAGAATTTCACGAGTCGCCGGGCCCACACCAGCGCCAGTGGCGTTACCACGACGGGAAGCCGATGGATGGGTGGGCGCGAGGGAGGAAATGGTTCATGGAGCGAAGCATGTGGCGCCGTATTTATGCGCTGTTTCGACCACAGCGGCATTGTCCCATACGGTGATTCTGACATGACCCGGGTCACGACTGCGCATTTGCTTTGGGTTTTATGGGGTTTGTGCCGGCGTGACTTCTCTCTGTATCGTGGCCTGGGTTCGCGCCGTCACATAGCTGGCGCCTAATATTGGTAACATCCCATCAGTCTGCGTTTTTAGAATAAACATAAAATGCCACATGGTTTGAGACGGTCAGCTGATGCGGTGCGTGAGAGCAGTGTGGCCCTTGCTCAGATCATCATTCTGCTGGTGCTGATACACGGCCAGCTGGGCATCAGTGCCGTCATCGGCTGCTTCGTGTCCATCTTCCTGCTGACACCGCTGCAGTTCGTTATCGTGAAGAATCTGCAGGCCAACAAACACGTGCTGCAGGTGAGCGGAAACAGTAAGGGGAAAGGAGGGAACGGACCGTCACGTCAGTATATTGCAAACTAGACCTGTGCGTCTGGTCTCATCGGCGGGCGCAAATCTCAGAAATGTTGACAGAAATAACGTCCAGGGGTGCACACGAACATGTGCCTAGACATTGCCAGAAATCCTAGTCCGGAAAACAGCTCCGAGATCCACCAACAAGCCAGCTTTCCGAAGCTGAGCTCGTCCGCTCCAGCACCATGCTTGACTGTGCTGCAGGCGAAGAGCGACGAGAGACTGAGCCGCTCCATCGAGTTCGTCAACGGCATCCGCCAGCTGAAGCTCAACGCTCTCGAGTTCGCCTACGAGAAGAAGATACAACTCGTCAGGAAAAACGAGCTGAAGCTGCTCATGAAGGACTCGTTGTTTTGGGCCCTGAACAGTGCGTAAAGGCGATGTTCATGCTCTACGTTGGGTGTCCGAAGGCTGGAATGCCATGCAAATGTCTGATGAGTGTGCAAATGCATAATAATCTATAAATTGGCATACGGCAGTTGAACACCATAAACTGGCATAGGCATTGGACAACGACCTTGAATGTACAGCGTCATGTATTAACTAGACATATTTTTGGTTAGATGGCTTTAGTTGTTATCAGTTGTTATCAACTAGTTGTCATCCCCTATGATTTTCATCACCACAGTCGTTCTCATTTATCAGTGTCTCTTGCTTCCATGCGCCACTATCGGCCGACCGGTTAACCATTCCTCCGTTTTATCGAGCGGAGGCGCCGCCTCGCCCTGACCCCTGTGACGTGGCTGACCCGGCATGAACCCTCCCGCAGTGTTCCTGACGCAGGCCTCGCTGACGGTGATCACCATGACTACATTCGGTCTGTACAGCCTGCTGGAGAGACAGCCACTCGTCTCCTCCCACGTCTTCAGCGGCGTGGCCCTCTTCAACCAGCTGACTGTGCCGCTGTTCGTGCTGCCCAAGATCGTAAAGGCGATCATCGGTGCCTGGGTGAGGTCCGCGCTCGGGCTGCCAGCAGTGAGCTCTGCGCTCGGGCTGCCAGCAGTGAGCTCTGCGCTCGGGCTGCCGGCAGTGAGCTCCGCGCTGGGGCTGCCGGCAGTGAGCTCCGCGCTCGGGCTGCCGGCAGTGAGCTCTGCACTCGGGCTGCCGGCAGTGAGCTCCGCGCTCGGGCTGCCAGCAGTGAGCTCTGCGCTCGGGCTGCCGGCAGTGAGCTCTGCACTCGGGCTGCCGGCAGTGAGCTCCGCGCTGGGGCTGCTGGCAGTGAGCTCTGCGCTCGGGCTGCCGGCAGTGAGCTCTGCACTCGGGCTGCCGGCAGTGACCTCCGCGCTGGGGCTGCCGGCAGTGAGCCCCGTAGTGGGACTTCTGGCAGGCTCACACCAGTCTGAAGCCACGTGTATCGCCATGCTGAAGGATAACTCGACAAGGGAGGCTGGCTGGATGTCTCACCCGAGACCGTGGGATGCGTAGCACGGGTCCTATGGAGCGTCCTGTATCGGGAGCGTTTGCACATTCGCCAAAGCTCACGTCAGGATCCAGCTTTGTATGGCTCAGCAGTCTGGGAATAGCCGGTAGCGAGTCTAGCTAAAAGAAGCATCGCATGCTTCGGGTTCTGGTCTGAGTGGAAGTGGCTCACAGATCCCTTCCTCTATATCAACACCTGACTGGAGAAGTTGGGTCACAGGGCCTAATTTAAGCTCCGCTGTAGCTGTGCTGTACAACGCCACTTCCTCTCCCGGTGTCCCAGAGCTCTAAAATGACAACTGCGAACGAACCGGCAACTCGAAATCTAGTGTGCGGTGTTTGCACAGAGCATGCAGCGCTCGTGGCGTGTGGTGATTTATGACCGCTAACCGTTGATCGTAAAGCAGCGGATGTAAACAGTGAGCCAACGCGCCGTGTGTGGCGTCGGCCAGTGACGGCATCGCGTCTGTGTCTGTGGCCGCAGGTGAGCATCGGCCGGCTGGGCGACTTCCTCGGCCTGGCGGAGGTGGAGTCGCTGCGTCGGCAGTCCCCCGTCTCAGGGGACGCCGGAGCCAGCCGCGCAACCCTGGTGGGTGCTCCTTTCGCGGCGCAGCTCCCGCACACCGCACCCGGGGCACTGTGACCGTTTGGCGGACTTGGCAAGGGGCACGGGCTGACGGCGTGCTGATGTTGGCACGTGGCGGCAGCTGATCACGCTGATCTCGTGCATCTGAATGTGGCAGCATGTTTTAAGTGCTATCTTTGCTGTTTTGTGCTTTTTGCGTTATCCATTCACTTCAATCTTTCTTTTTATCCATTTTTTTACCCACGTTTTTAAGCCTGCGGTTTCTTGTAACAACGTTGGTTAATTGCGAGCGTTTTTTGGTTCACGTGCCTAGCCACAATGCGAGCACAACGGCGCCTTCTCTCGCAAGTTTGACCCTGGCGTCCCGCTGTGGGGCCATTCCACGCTTTGTTAGTATACTTTGGTTCGGTTTACATGGCATGCGTACACTAGACCACTGTGTATCTGAGGCGTTCAGCCAGGCGTTTCAAAACCGAAAGGGAACGCATCCTGTCTGCGGGTGTAACAATAATCTTACCTCGGGTGAATGTGGGAGCGAGGTGCCGATCTTTTTAAGACACTTCTTTCCATGCAACGTCCAATAAGCATATCTGTCATAACACTTTACACACGTCGGGAAGGCTTCTTCAGTCTCTGTATTTGAGTTCCTGTGCCGGCCTATGTAAGGTTAAAGCTTACTCGTGTACAATCATCACACGCCGAGCTCCCAGTGGATAGCTCTGTTGCTCAGGTCCAACGCGTCCGACATCTCGCTCACCGCCGTGAGGACAGATAATGCCAGCGGCGTTAATATTTGCATGAGTCAGCTAAATCCGACGGCTGGTATATTGTCCTGTTATCCGCTGCGAATAGCACGTGACGTCCGAGGTCCCTGACGCCCGACGACGCTGCTCCCGGCTGTCTCGGCGTCTGACGCCACCTGCACCGTCCCCAGCAGGGGCCCACCCCATCGCTGTCGACGACGACGACGGGCAGCCGCTCGCCGGAGACGACAGAGCGGCCGGACTCGCTCGACCTCTCGCCCCCGGAGGGCCCGGCCTGCCTCTGGGGCAGCCAAGACTCCGTATTCGGCCTGCAGAGCATCCCGGAGGCCGACGAGGAAGTGGACGCGGCGGCCGTCGCCGGTGCTGTGGCCGCTGCGGTTTCGAACCGACTGGCGGCCGACGGCCAGCCCAGAGCGAGCCGCATGGCCGCCGGCGACGCGGCCGCGCAGACTGACGACGTCCCGAACGGTGGGCCGCCGCAGGGGAACGGAACAGAGGACGACGCCACAGACGTGCCGCCGCCGACCTTCTTCGCCTCCGCCTCCGCCTCCGACCCCGCCACGGACAGGCAGGAACCGGGACGTAACAGACCAGTTCGCGTGCTCCAGCCACTGAACCTGCAGGCGGTGCGCTTCGCCGTGGACCCCGTGGAGCCAGATATGGATCCGGATGGGGAGCCGGCGGCGGCGCGGGAGGCGCCGGTGGTGCGCGTGGAGCAGGCGTGCTTCAGCTGGCGGCCGGACGGTGAGGCCGACACGCTGGCTGACATCAGCCTGGTGGTGCCGCGCGGCCGGCTCACCATGATCGTCGGACCGGTGGGCAGCGGCAAGTCGTCGCTGGTGGCCGCACTTCTCGGCGAGCTGCGCCGAAAGAGCGGCTCGGTCACCTGGGCCAGGTGAGAGGGAGACGCATCGCTGGCTGGGCTGCGGGGTGGCCGGGTGTCACAAGCTAAATGGTGCCATATGAGGAAACAGTAAATCTTTCTGATAAGCCTTTCAACCTTTCCCTGCCAGCACCTACCGGCGACATTCAGCACTGGGTCGGACTGACACGCAGTCCATGGCACTCCTGATGTCACTGTCGCCGCCGCGTTGCCCTGGCGCTGGTGAGCACGTTATTGTCGCCGCCGCGTTGCCCTGGCGCTGGTGCGCACGTCACTGTCGCCGCCGCGTTGCCCTGGCGCTGGTGAGCACGTCACATCGCGCACCGACCTGACCGTCGCGCCGCGGGCTCGCTCCGACTGAACCCCGTCTGCCGGCAGCTCGGCTCCACTCGCCTACGCCTCGCAGTCACCGTGGCTCTTCAACGACTCGCTGCGCAATAACGTGCTGTTCGGGCGAGGGATGAATCCGCGCCGCTACCGGCGCGTGCTGGCCGCCTGCGCGCTCGATGAGGACATCATACTGCTGGGGCCGGCCGGCGACAGCACAGTGATCGGCGAGCAGGGCGTCGTGCTGTCCGGTGGGCAGCGGCAGCGCGTGGCCGTGGCGCGCGCGCTGTACTCGAACGTCAACTGCGTCATTCTGGTGAGCCCAGGTCACGTGGTGGTGATTTCCTTGTGCGTCGGGTGTCCTGAATCATGTGCAATAGTGTCAGCCGTAGATTTCCTGTGCTTTGTTTATGACATCGGATATGCAGACGTTGAAACCAGAGTTCTCTGTAGACAGGCCTTGTGACGTGACTGCTAATCCTGTGACCCGAGTGGTTCCGACTAAAATGAACTTTCGCCAGCCTGCTGGATAGGTCGAGCGGTTGTGCGGCGTCACATGTAGGTGACCGAACAGCGACTGGAACCGTGAATTTTCGCGCCCGCCGCCGCATTAATGTCAGCCAGATGCTGGCACAAGGTGTGGAGCGAGGAGACTTTTATGTGAAGCCGGGTAGCGAGGCGTGATCTCTCGAGTGTGCTCAATGTTAGCTTGGTGGCAGTCTCCTGCTGGGCAGGACCGGCCGCTGCTCTAGGCTGCTGCATTGCTATCACTGCCCCACGTGCGCCAGAGCGTTTGTTTAGCACCAGCGCAGTATGCTCACTGCGCGTGTCCCAAACTGGCACTTTTCCGGCGACATGTCTTTGATTTAAACACCAACGTGAGGACACGCCTTCGGTTATTTGAATGGGGTCACGGCCTTGACCGAGGGCGTGGTCCCGTTTCAGGACGATCCGCTGTCCGCGCTGGACGTTCATGTCGGGCTGCACGTCTTCGAGAACGGCATCAGGAAGCTGTTGGTGCAGCAGGGCAGGACTGTCATCTTGGTCACACACAAGCTCCAGTATCTGAAGCACGCAGACCAGGTGTGGTTCAGGAAGTCGGCCTCGGGCCTAATCGTTGCACTGCGAATCCGACATTATAGGCTGACGGGATACAACTGTAGGAGTGTGGGGGGGGGGGGGGGACTGTTGGGAAGACTCTGCGCTGTCTTGCGACAACAGTTGGCAATGTGTTTTACAGCGTTCCTTATGAAAGATGGTAAACCGCTTACCCTCTGCTGCGGTAACTATTATAACACGGGTCATTTCTCGATGGCAGCATTTCTTGGAGCAAACGATGATATCCGTGACTAATTTCATTTCTGGATTTAGGAACGCATTGAGGCTTGCTCCACTGGGCACGGTTACATGACTCTATACGCTAAATTAATGTTTTTTTTTTACTGATTTTCCATGATGCGTAGAATTTTACATGATTTAGCACGTACATGTGCACGTACATTTAGCAGGTCATTACTGTAATAGCTTGTGACGGCTATTTTCCAGGATTTATAGGTACATGATGATGAAAAACGCATTCGAGGTGAAAAGTTAGGGACTGGTTTGATAGTCCTGACGATGAACCATATATTTCACTTCTGCCCATCCTATTTTTTGAGTGTTTCGAATTTAGCACTAATTTAACCTTTTCACGCCAGCATTATTAGACAGGGACCTAATTTAATACCATATATAATAGGCCATTTCAAGGGCGAAACTCATCTTGTGTCGTCAGATCTATCGAAGCACCCGGTAAACGTTACTCGGGGAGCATTTTTATGTAAGACACCGCAAATATTAAATGACACTAAATCAAGGGTTTCACTCCTGTTAATCATATTTTTCGAGTATTTCAGATTTGGTTTGAAATATGTCCTTGTCTTATAACATTTACTTGGAAAAACCTGTCTGCACAATGCAACATAACCTGGAATTTCGGTGACTCGGTCGTCCAGTCTCTTCGCCGGACTCACTTGACTGAAGACACGTAGACCGCCGACTAAACTCGGCACCAATCCATTGATGCGTTTCATTGGTAAAGTAATGGTGGAGTGGAAAGGTCTCCTGCCGACGATATGGGCTTTTCGATGTGGGCCTGTTTCAAGGTCTGACCAGCCTTGATTTTTGGCGCACATGTACGGAGGTGCTATCGGACAAAACATGGCAAGATTTACTGCACTCGCACATTGGGCAAAATACAGCCTCGAGCAATTAGCTCACGTCGGATGGCGACGCCGTGCCTCGCAATGCATCTCCAACGTCATCTGGGAGGCAGCTTTGCCGCCATCCGACGGTGTACTTCTCAGTTGACGGTCCGACCCATTTCCTAGCTTCCTCCCCAGTTGGCTGTCCCGTCCACGAGTCATGCCTCGGTGCCCGGTTGATAGCTACGTTCTTCGATGGCAGCCCGGTTTCCGGTTCATAACGCCGTGCCCGACTGATGGCTCCGTTCCCAGATGATAGCCTCGTCCCCAGTTGAAGTTACACCCCATGTGACGGAGCCCCGTCCATTCGTGGCGATCACGTCCCCATATGGCAGCACGTCGCCGGTAGCAGTCTATCCCCAGATAACAGCATGCCGCCAGTAGTAGCCCGTCCCCAGATAACAGCCCGTCGCCGGAAGCAGCCCGCCCCCAGGAAGCGGATCCGTTTCCAGCAGCGCCGCTCCCTGCCCGGCTGACGGCGCCCGCTGGCGGTAGGTGGTGGCGCTGGAGCGGGGCCGGGTGCGGCAGCAGGGCACCTTGGCCCAGATCGCCGAGGCCGACCCGGAGCTGTACCGGCGCTGGCAGCAGCTCATCCAGCTGAACCAGCAGCAGGAGAACCAGGAGGCGGCCGCCGAGACGCGGACGGCCCGCGAGCGCTGGCGCTTGCTGCAGAAGATCCAGAAGGCCAGCCGGCTCATGACGGTTAGTAAACGAGCCCGCATCTAGCGTGAGACGCGGTGGTGCGGACAGGTCTGGGACAGAAGTCGTCCGCCGGGGCCGGCCTCACTGGGGCGGACAGGTATAGCATATACTGGTAACAGCATACTTGCCAGCACAAGTTACAAGCCTAGCAGCGAACATCATGCGATGGCGCGCTTTTACCTGAACTCGTTCCTGAGTGGTGTCGTTGATTGGTGTTCTTCCCCCCCCCCCCTCCGCGGCCCCCGTGTGAAGTACAGACCGGGCTGTGCCGGCACGGTGCGCGCCCCTCTGAACGCCGCGCGTTCCCGCCCACAGGCGGCGCCGGCCGTCAGCCGCGACAAGTTCTCGTCGTTCCGTCGCGCAGCGCTGGGGCGGCGCTCGTCGCTGCGCCACCACATGTCGCACGGGCTGCCAGTGCCGCTGGACGTGGGCAGCGACGATTACGGCGCGGTGCCTCGGCGGCGCGCCACCACCGGCGGCCGCCGCGGGCCGGCGGCCGGCCTGGCGCTCAGTGTGCGCCGCCGCCTGTACCGCCGCTCCAGTTCGCTGGGGCCGCAGGCGCCGGGCGCCCCCAGCCAGCCCAGCACGCCCGACACGCCGGCAGAGGACGCCGAGCGCCGGTACGAGTCCCTGCGGCTGCAGCGGATGGTGTCGTCGCCGCCTAACATGCCGTCGCCGCTGGTGCCGGCGCGGGGCTCCGTCTCGGACTCGGGTCGCCAGCTGCTCAACCTCCTGCTGCGGAGGTGAGCTGCTGAGGATGTGAGCTGCTGAGGAGGTGAGCTACTGAGCCGCCCGCTGCGGGGGTGAGCTGCTGAGCAGCCTGCTGCGAAGGTGAGCTGCTGAGCCGCCCGCTGCGGGGGTGAGCTGCTGAGCAGCTTGCTGCGAAGGTGAGCTACTGAGCCGCCTGCTGTGGAGGTGAGCTGCTGAGCCGCCTGCTGCGAAGGTGAGCTGCTGAGCCGCCCGCTGCGGAGGTGAGCTGCTGAGCAGCCTGCTGCGAAAGTGAGCTACTGAGCCGCCTGCTGTGGAGGTGAGCTACTGAGCAGCCTGCTGCGAAGGGGAGCTACTGAGCCACCTGCTGCGGAGGTGAGCTGCTGAGCCGCCTGTTGTTGAGGTGGGCTGCTGGCCGGCCTAGTGGTATGGTGTGCGCCTCAGTACGGCAAGACTGGGATGAGGGCTGGTGGCGCTGATCGCTTTTTAGAGCTATGCTTACGTGCTATGGGTTCGCTGGCAGGTGGAAGCTTCCGGTGGCCCGTTCCGAGGGATCCGTGCTGGCTCTTATGTCATAGAAAATAGTTTTGATGCGGTCATTGGTGTTTTATGCGCTTACTTTATGGTCGCGTAATTTCAGCGCCGCAACAAGGTTGTTTCGTTGGCTTGCTCTATAAGTCTCCAATTACATGGAGCACCACCATCCCTCGCTGCCCTGAACGCCTGCCTCTCACCAGCCCCGCCGCCCTGACCGCCTGCTTCCCCCTGTGGCAGGAGCACAACCAGCTCTCGTACGTCGCCTGTCGACCCCGAGCGTGACGTACCACCCGAGCAGATGGCGCCACTAGTGCCGGCCGACCCGCCGCCGCCGCCGCGGCCCCAGCTGACACGCGCGCTCTCCATCGCCTCCAACTACAGCGAGATGTACCGCGACGAGGAAGAAGGTGAGCCAGGCTGCCACCAGTGCCGAGACATGGAGGCTGCACAGGTTGGCGGCGGAGGTCCCACAGGCCCGCGGTGGAGGTCCCACAGACCCTCGGTGGTGGTCCCACAGGCCCGCGATGGAGGTTCCACAGACCCTCGGCGGAGGTCCCGTAGACCTTCGGCAAAGGTCCCACAGACCCGCGGTGGAGGTCCTACAGACCCTCGGCGGAGGTCCCACAGGCCCGTGGCGGAGATCCCACATGCCGCGACGGAGGTCCCACAGGCCCGCGGTCTGTTCGGCGAAGAGCTGTCTGTCGTGATCTGACACGGATGTAGTTACAGATTAAAGCGCGTTCTCTGACAAATGATTTTGTTGGGTTTTTCCTAATGCATATGCATGAAATGAAACGTTGGCTTAGCGCTCTTGTATATCTTCAGTGCCGTATTTGATTTATTGATTTACTTTAAATGTATCGGTCTGGCGCATCATTGATGAGTTGGATCGTTCGATAGATGGTGCATTTCAAACACAATGAAGACGTCTGTACTCTGTGTGTGCAAATATTCATATAAGGCTTATATAGTTCCGGATCCGCATCTTCGCTTGCACTAAGCTACGCTCTTATGCTATTTACCGTTTCCAGAGTCTGACCTGGACTCAAGACGCTTTCTAGACGAAGACAGGGAAAAGGGCAAGATTTCAAAGCTGGTGTACATCACGTACATGAGGGCGTGCGGATTGGGTTTTGGCATTTTGTACCTCACCATGGTTCTGCTTACTCAGGGTGAGTAGATAATGTCAGACCTCTACCTTATTCACTGATGGCTCTTCAGCCCTTCATGGGGGGAAGGGGGGGGGGGGGGGTAGTAGCCTCTCCCCGGATTGTGGAAATGACTGCTGAGTTGCACCAGTAAGGTCCACCAAATTTTCAGCATACCCGATGGGTGATTAATTAAACACGCCCTGGACCGAACCCAGTGTTGGTGTTTGATCGGGCCGCCCTCAGCCGTGGATTGCAAGACGGACCAAACTTAGTCTACTGCCAATCGGTTCAAGCCAGACCTATCACTCCCCATTATGCTTGAGTATTGAGGCTCCACAACTTCACAGACATGTAGCCTTTCCATTTATGCTACGGTGCATGTCACTGCCATTCAAGGGTCGTCGTGTGAACAACGGTCGTCTGTTATGTCACCGACTGCTGCATGAACTGCAAATACAGCCACCACGACCTCGCGACCGCCTGACTAACGCGCGGCACCGCCCACCGCCAGGCGCACACGTGGGCACGGACGTGTGGCTGAGCAGGTGGAGCGAAGCGGCCAGCCGGTGGAACCGCAGCCACAAGGACCAGTGGCAGCAGCTGGCTGGCGGCAACGCCACTCCCGCGAGCGCCGTGGAGTCGGAGGACGTGTCGGACGCGTATGAGGCGTTCATGGCGTCCGAGACGCGCTCCTACCTGCTGGTGTACGGCGTGCTGTCGGCCGTCGCCGTGCTGCTCGCGCTGGCTGCCAACCTGAGCGGCCAGTGGGCGGGTGCGCGCGGGCGCCGCAGCCTGCAGCGCCGCCTGCTGGCCGCCGTCACGCGCGCCCGCAAGGAGTTCTTCGACCGCACGCCGGCCGGCCGCATCATCGACAGGTTCGCCCAGGACGTCAGCTTCATCGACAAGGTGCGAGAGAGCGGCGATGGGGGCAGTGGGAGGAACTGGGAGAGGCCGCGGGAGAATGTGGAGGTCATGGAGGGTAGTGCGGTTAATCGAAGGCGCTGGAAGGCCGGAATACCGGAAGGAATAGCCAGTAGGTGGTGGGACGCAGTAGAGGTCACTACGATGCGTTGGATGGCGGTTGCAGGAGACGGGGGTGATGGGAGGCCCTAGGAGACGGCGAGAGATGCTAGAGTCGATGAGAGACGGAGGATGCTGCTGGGAGGTGCGGGAATGGTGGAGGCAGGGCTCAAGATGTGGCCTGGTGTCTGTGGTACTCTGTTATCTGTTATCTGACAGTCTCTGTGATAGCGTGGAATGTCTGCGAGATTTGCCATTGCACTCTCGCTTGTGGTGATGCATTCGTATGACCGCCTTTCGGAAACGACCTTTAGCAGCAGAAACTTAAAGTTGCTGTCTCCACCGTAGGGTTTCATTGATCTCTTCCGCCTTGCTTATTCTCGTATATCCTTATGTCCTTATCGTGCATTATCGTCTAAACATGTTTACGTACAAATATTTTTTCGCATTAAGTTGTAGATCAAGGGCTACCATGGTATGTGCGGCGTAAATTTTGCAGTGTGTGGGTGGGGGGGGGGGGGGGGGGCTTAGCAACATGGCTTGAATTGGGTGATCCCAAGCAAGCTAGCTGGATGCCTAAGGAGCGCAATCCGTGACATGACTAGTTCTGGCTCATGTTCGAAACGGTGTTACGCATGACTTAGCTGGTACTTCTTCCTTACACTTAAGTGCGGAAGTCCTGACATTTTAAAAATCAATTGGTGCGGCCGGAATGGCAAGGATGTCCCCAAACGTGCCTGTGAGTGGCGACTTCTAAGTGGATGCATAAATTTAACGCTGGCGTTCTCTTTCCACAGAAATTGGCAACTGAGATACACATGCTGCTTTTCTTCGTCCTTCAGTGCTTGACAGCAGTAATAGTGAACGTCGTCGTGACCTGGTGGTTCATCTTCATCGCACTGTTCATCACCGTCATCTACTACTTCCTGCAGAGATTCTACAGAACATTCGCCATGTGGGTGACCGCGCTGTTGATAACAGCCTCCGTTGATTGCTTGGTGCGTTATGTGACCACCGGTACAGCATCTCTCTGTCTTCAAATCGTTCACTGCACATTATTTTTATCATTGTTCAACGTATTACACGAAATTACATTTTTGTTCGTAGATGTTGGAGTCCTTACAGTCTGCTGGCTTGTTGCGCGTGCCATTTGCCCTCCGCCCTGGCGGAGCATCTCCAACTCATGTGATCTTTTCCGAATGATTTCGCCTTGCCACGCCTGGTCGGGGCACAATTTCCACGCGCCAGCGTGATCGCCCTAGTAATGTGGAATTGAAGTGATCACCTGTATGTGTCGTTTTAGGTACTTATACGCACGACCACTGCACATGCCAAATGTATATCCTTATCAACGACAAGTTCCCTGAATATTGCATTACATGAAGCCGCGTATTTATGTTAACATTTGGATTCCCAGGTCATAGCCTTGGGGTCAGAATCAGGTCAAACGAGGTCAAAATCCACATTGGTGTCCAAGGTGCCCCCAGTACCTAGACGCGTGTTCTAACCAAAAGGCCATTGGCGCTCATTTAATGTCGGTAACCTTGTTTTATCTTTCGCAGGTCGTAGTGACCAAACTCATTCAAGACTGCTTTTTTGCATTGCATTTGAATAAGCGTCAAGTATTACGCTAGGGAGAATGTTTTCCTGAACCAAAATGCTAACGTGGGTCATTTTAGATCAGTGACCTCTCCTGACATGTAAGAAGTCCATGGGAGATTTACAATGCGGTTCCTATTATCAATGAATTCAAAATGAGCACTAGAAACTTCCGCGCACAACAAGCTTTCCAGTAGTAAAACAGATTGGTCTTCACCTTTGTCCGACGTCCATGCCTGACTCTTGGTCCATGGAATATAGTCTCTCAGTTGTTGTGTTGCCTAAAAAATTAACTTACAGATGTCTGGCCTTGTCTAACATTCCGTTGTTGCATCAGATTGGATGATTTCTTAGACATTGTCTTCGTTGATTCCATGGCTGACTGACCTCCCCTAGGTTAGCGACCTTACAAGGTACGCCTAAATTTCGAATATCGAACGATCCGCTATTCAATCGTCTACAGCTATGCAAAATGTGGCGTGGCTGCGCTGCGCCGTTCGGGAACCATTTTAGAAAAACCTTCGGGGGCCAAATTGACCCCTACCGGAGCGCGTATCAAGACATCCATAGACCGTATGAGGTGCTCGCAGACAGCAGCGCTGTTTCGCAGACCAGTTGGCGAGGTTAACAGTGAACTAAATGGCAAAACCTGCCCCGAAAATACGCCCACAAGTGGAATTCTCTCCGGATTTGGCCCGCTTTCTTCTCAAAGATGTGGTCTGGAGCCCAAACTGGGGTCACTTAGACTGAATGGAAACTGTCTCCGTGCTGCAAAGACAGTCAGAGTAGGCCGCTGGAGACGGTATTTCTTCAGAGGAGGGAAAAATAGGGCATCGTACCCAATGACGTAACCAGGCCGGGGCAAAATTGGGGTGCAAGGGCCCTTTCAGCCAAGCAGTCCGCTCCGTTGCTATAAAAGGGCCTTGATTGTGTATTTGGAATGTTTGTAATGTTTGGGATCCCACTTTGGTTCCTTTAGGCCCCTTTTTGTGTTTTAGAAACCTCACGGGCGTCTTAAACCGCCAAAATGATCCCAGACATTCGCTCCCGGGAAGCCTCGCCGCCTCCAAGGGCAGAGGGAGCTACATGACCACAAACGTCTTCCCGTGTTGCCTACGCCATTCTACGCAACATAATCCACCTACACACTGAACATATATTTCTCTGACCTGGCCTTAGTCGCATTCTTCACTAATCGATTTTTGAAGGGTTGAAAACAAAACGAGGCTTAAGCGGAAGCAGGTTCGAGACGGGCGCAAGCCTGTTTGAAGTCCATTGTACCGCTAGCTGCCTAAAGAAATAACGCACTTTTTTACTCTTTTGAATTTCAACCATTGTCTTAAAGCGTAAGACATTGAAACATTATTTTCGGACGACCCATGGCGCGACGTATGAAAGCAGGGCATTCCGACTCATTGATGAACGATAAAACCATCCGCAATGTACGGAAAGAACGACATGCATAGTATGACACGTAGGCCATCAGCTTCCCATCATCAACGACATACCATCCCGCGCTGGCGTTCTGTCTGTAAGTCGGGCCCGCCTCTCTGACGCTCTCACCGGCTCACAGTGAGCTGCAGCGGCTGGACCACCATCGCGCGCGCGCCCGTGCTCTCTCACCTGGCCGAGACGCAGGCCGGCCTGAGTGTGGTGCGCGCGTACGGCCACCAGAAGCGCTTCTTTCGGCCACGCTGCTGCAGTGCGTCGACCTTCACCTGCTCACCTCGCTGGTGTACGAGTCGGGCCAGCGCTGGCTCGGCATCGCGCTGGTCAGTCGGGAGGGGGGACGGGGACGGGGGTAGCTGGCGGCCGGCTGCCGCTGTCCGCAGCGCTCGGGTGTTCTGGTTCCTAGACTATTTGCTCGGCGTCTTGACTGACATAGGCTCAAATGTTCGTATGACGATATGTGCGCGTCATCAAGACTGCCAGTCGCAGAAAAGTGAAAGAGACAGAAGGCATAAAACCACGGAATGAATCGTAAGGGAATCGTTGAGACAAAGTTTTATGAAATCACACCTCCTGAGTAAACCATGTCCGAAAGGACAAAGAGGATACGAGCAGAGACAAAAGGGCAAGCAGGCGTCATTTACAACATAAACAAGACTCGCGGCGGTGTAAACAGTGGCTCCGGGATGAGCTGGCGGCAGTGTGGTCGTACGGCCCTCCTAAGCACTTCATGTGGGTCGGTCTGTTGCAGGACTACCTGGGGGCTGTGATCGTGTTCGTGTCGAAGCGTGTCGGCCGTGACAGTGGCCGTCACCAGCCGGGAGCGCGTGCCGTCGGCTCTCATCGGCCTGGCCATCAACTACACCTGCTCATCCCCACCTATCTGGTGTGGGGGTGGTGCGCTCGCTCAGCGTCGTCGAGATGTACATGTGCGCCGTGGAGCGCGTGCACAAGTACACCATGCTCAAGGCGGAAGACTACAGGAAGAAGGCTCTCGGTGGGGTGGAGGGAGGAGAGAGAAGGGAAGTGAGGAGGTTCGACACCGTTTGAACTCTTGACCTCTTGAGGGATACTGTTTTTTTTATAATTCGTTTCAACAATTGACACTCTAATGCAGCGCAATGGTCTCCAAATATGCTTTCGGTTTGTTCAAAATTAACACCACATCGAAAAAATCAGTTTCATGCACCAATAATGCGGGCTGGGTTACGAACTATTATAGCGACTTTTATTGACAGTCAACTCACATGACATTGACACCTGTCTCCAAAACGTCGTTTAAATAGTAGTCACCGGCATTTCGTATGCCAGTTGTATAAATTATGGACCATGCTTAAAGTGGGACTGACCAGCCAGACAGACCTAGTATGCTGCTGTAGCGCAGCCGTCAGGCGACGGGCGGCCGCCGCTGTCGAGTGTCCGCCGCCGTCATGTCCGCCGTGCATGCGTCCCGCCGTGTCCGCCGCCGTCATGTCCGCCGTGCATGCGTCCCGTCGAGTGTCCGCCGCCGTCATGTCCGCTGCGCATGCGTCCCGTCGAGTGTCCGCCGCCGTCATGTCCGCTGCGCATGCGTCCCCGAGTGTCCGCCGCCGTCATGTCCGCTGCGCATGCGTCCCGTCGAGCGTCCCCGCCGCCGTCATGTCGCTGCTCATGCGTCCCGTCTAGTGTCCGCCGCCGTCATGTCCGCTGCGCATGCGTTCCCCGCCAAGTGTCCGCCGCCGTCATGTCCGCGCTGTGCATGCGTCCGTCAATATCCGCCCCGTTTCGTCTGCCTTCGGCCGCCGGCTGACCATGACCCTCTGACGCCCGCTACCTCTGACGCCCTCTCGCCCCGCCGTCAGTGGCGCCTGTATTGGCCGCGCTCTCAAGGCAAGATCGAGTTCACCGCGCGCGCTCGGCTACTCAGGCGAGGACACGGCCATCGTCAGGGTGCTCAAGGATGTCAGCGTCACCATCCTGCCCGGCCAGAAGGTGGGGTCGCCGCGCGGAACTTCCAACTGACGTCAGCGCGGCGCCGTGTGTCGGTAACAGCTGATCATTGAATGCATATAGAATGCTGTAATGCCCCAGCTACGAAGTTGAGCGGAGATGGTGGGTGGACTCCTTTGTTGTGCTGGTAGCGGAATCTCTTGGCTTGAGTTGGATTTTGATCATATGGTAGAATATGCAACTGTAACGTAACTGCACCGAGTATCGCATCACACCGGTACTCCTCCAGCGTTCCTTTACACCTTGTCGGGGATCATACTTTTTAATGCCTCAGATTATAACTGCTATTAGGGACGTAACATATTCTTGTTTGCCGCTGATAAACTGCAAGTCTACAAGCTGCACATATGCAGCATCGGTTGCGACCATCACTTGCGTCCAGGCCCTACCCAACCTCGAAAGTTACTCTGTTTGCCCACAGGTGGCTCTGGTGGGCCGGTCGGGCAGCGGCAAGTCGACTCTGGCCATGGCCCTTTTTCAAATGTCGGATCTGCTGGAGGGCGTGATCCGGATCGACGGCATGGACCTAAAAAGCGTGCCTCTGCACTCGATCCGCTCGCAGGTGGCGCTGATACCTCAGGAGCCGCTCCTGTTC